GCAAAAACTGCAGCTGAATATTACCATTAAAATATGAAATCTAGGACTCAAGAGCAAATTAAAAAATTATCCAAAATTTTATTAAATTACTAATAGCTTTTTTGTTAAAGTTTGGCGTAAGGTAGGATGGTAATTTTTCAGTATTCTCATCTACCAGATTAGCACTACTAAAACCATCTTCACTTTCAATTGAATTTGGCTCAGTAGCAAGATGCATTTTGGCTCGGTCTGCTGGTATAGGATGCTGCTAAAGGTGAGATTGCTCCTGAGTTATTAAGCTGTTTAACTGTAACAAAGTTAATTTTTTAACTTATCAACTATTTGTCTTGAATCTCTTTGAAGCAATTACACAAATTAAGATTTTGTGCATTGCTTAATCAAGACTTTATATATTCAGATGCAGACTATGTATTCATAACTTCTAACATTGTTTTATGTACCTTATTCTTCACATAATCACTTATTAAAAATTTGTGTTTAAAACTTTGATCTAGAATTATCATATTGGAACAATGTAATGGCTTTCAAGATAAAGTAGTTTTTGAATTTACATCAGGTTCTCTTTCATTATGAATAGAACCATTCAAGTAGAATAAGGATCTTTAGAACAGATTTCAAGTAAGATATCATTCGATTTTTAATAAGTAAGTACGGTTACATTTTCAGCAGGTTCAGCAAAACAATATTTTTGTGAAAATAACAATGAATTGTTAGTAAATCCTGCTGTATTAGAATTATTGTCTCGATATTATAGTATCAAGACATTCTTTTGTTCACACATCTTTTTTAACACTTAACCATTTTTATTCCGTCTTTTAGGACACCTTACGGAGCTACACATAAAGGCAACTTCAGAATCTTTTGTTTGCTGTGTAGCTTTTTCTCTGTAGAAATAAGAAGTGGCCTGTAGTATTTGGGCTGTTACGTTATCAATATTCTGAACCCACAGGGCTCAAAGTCGCATGAATTCTTCATCTTTTTGGCCTTCCATAAGTTTAAGGCTAAAACTAAAAATGGTTTGCAACCATTGACTGAATTCTAAAGCCATTATGTGTATATCTCGCTATTAATACTTTATATTTATTGACTAGGATGATGTTCCAGGCCCTGTGCTAAACACTTACAAACATTTCCCTCATGTGTGATTTCCTCATAACCAAAAGGTAGCTTATGTTACTATCCTTACGTTACAGAAGAAGAAATAGTCTTCACCAGATTGAGTAGATTTGCCCTAGAGAAGAGTCTACACCAGATTAAATAGGTTTCTCTGGATGGCCCATAGAATAAAGGCGCAAAGCCAGAGGCAGAGGCAGGCAGTGACTGCAGAAGCTGGCCTGCTGTGCACAGTAGGAAGCAGGAGAGATCTGAAAGGAAGTCACCATGTAAAACAAAAATCTGTTACTAGAATATTATTTTTAAAAGTTATTCAATTCGAAATTTTCCTTCTCATCAAAGGATCCATACAATTCATTATTACAAAGTGTAAAGACATTAAAAACCCTTCTCCGCCTTGAGTTAAAAACGACAAAAAAAATTCTGAAACAAAATTTGAAAATATGGTGGTCTGGTCTTTGATAAATGAGTTAATGAATAGGACACTGAATTTTGAGGTACATTGTTTGGACTAAATACAAAGGATAAACAGGTTTCCACTTTAAAAATTCGCATGATCTAGAGCAATTTATTGTGTTATATTTGGCATTCAAGTAATTTTTTGCAGGTCTAGATATATAATGTCATTTTATTTTTACTTGGACTCCTCGTTTGCATTTCGGATCATAACTGAATATATAACGTTTGTTTCCTTTTCAAACAGAGGGAAGATGGGGCAGAATGGGCAAGAGCCTATCAAACAGCCAGGAGTAGGAGCAGGAGTGGCAGACGCTGAAGGTAAGGTAAAATGGACGGTACTGGGTTTTGACTGAATTCATGCTATACTGTTTTGTTTTTCTTTCAACATGAATGTTCATTTCTAAGTACTAATATCAAAAGCACTAGGAAGTAAGTCTCCATTATCCATATTATCTATTAAAATAGAATGACGTCATAACTTCATTTAACAATTTTCCAATTTCCTTATTCAGATTTAACATCAAAGTACTTTGGGGCACTAAAAATTTTTAAGGGAAAAAAGAATGAGGATAACAGAAAGGGACTCAGAAAACTTTCTCATGGGAAAAATACCTTCTTGGTATTGAAATTGAAAAAAAATTTTTAAATAAAAAAAATGTTGATTGAAATACTATACAGATAGCAAGTCATGAAACCTCATTTAAGTCCATGGAAATCCTTAAATATGTGGAGCTAAGAAGAAACTCGTGGTGTTAAATTCATTTTATAGGAAAAATAATGACTGAACTAACTCCTAAAGTAAAAACTTAACTTGGCATGAAACTATATTTTATTCAACAAATAGCAAATGTATTACAAAATGCCAAAAAAAAAAATCCTTATCCTTATCAACACAGAATCGGTATCCCTAAGGTGCACAATGACTAGCTTATCTTTCACTGTATTGTGATACGATCTGAGAGCACTGTTACCCCTCTTGCCTTACACCAGCCTCTCAATAATTTTAATTATTCTAAGTACTTAACACTATTCTAAGTCCTTTTCACATATTATCTCATTTAATTCTTACCATTACTGTCATCCTGTATCCTGGTCTTACATGAAAAGTAACTGAGGTGCAAACAGCACGCACAAGATAAGAGCAAGTGACTTGAATCCAGGAAAATGATGCCAAGTCACATGCCATTGAAAAGAATGATTAGTGGCGTGGTATCACAAGGGTGCTCAATGGGGAACCAGAAACCCAGATTTGTGCTTCAAATCTTATCTTGACTGATGACCTGACCTTTCTATCTTCAGAAACCTCATCAGACAAACGCTGGATCTAAGCGATGTTTCAGGTCCCTAGTGGACTTTAGATATTATGTACTTCCGGTTCTACTAAAAATTTTTCTTTGAACTTATTCAAAGACTGTGCTGCTTCGACTTGTTGCCATGCTCCCAGGGTTCCACCCTCAATCCGACATTTCTTTACGCACCGTCTCTCTGCAAAAGCTCATCAGTCTTGTCTATGTGGTGATTAGTCTCAAATCTACCACGCAAGCTCCCTGAAATTCAGACTCTGACGTCTGCCAGGCATTTGTGTCCAACCAAGAAAACAGAAACCACTCTGCATATTTAAAATAAAGGAAATGTATGGCTGGAAGACACTGAGAAACCTGGCAGGGGGTAGGGAGGTAACAGAAGGAAGCTACTGTCCCTAGAGGCTGGAGCCCACGAGAGCAGGAACCAAGATCAGCCTGCCTGCCGGGGTCAGGAAACTACACAGCAAAAGCCAGAAATTCATCCTGAGACAGACAAGGATGGGGAGAAATATCCCGATTTCTCTCGTCCTCCCATTCTCTCGTCTCCACCAGTGCATAATCAAGTCCTCCCCAAAGCCAACTAACAGGGAGCCTGGGAACCACGCAAGGGCGCCGCTATTCTGAGAGGAGGGCGGAGAAAGACCTAGAATGCCTCGGAGGCTTAGAGCTGGCACAAGATTTTGCTTGGACATTCCATAGATGCATCAAACTACATATGCCCTGATCTCACTTCACCCTCTTCCCTAATTTTCCTCTTTTCTTTCCCTGTATTCTTCCACCACTCACAAGGTCTGTGCTATGTATACCATCATTTGTATATTGTGTTACCATTGTCTTTTGACTTAAATTTCCATATTTCTATGCCTGCCTCCTCTGTAAGGCTGAACAACTCTGAGAGGAGATCTGGTTTATTCATCTTGGTGTCCCAGCCCTTAGCAGAAAGCATTGCCCATGAAATTGCTTGGAGAATGTTAAGTGAATGAAGAGATAATGTGATCTTATATAAAAGTAATGGTCATTGATTTTCATAGGACTCTAGAATTCAGGTGTACAGAGAAGCAACTCACGTGCAATTTTTTTCCAAAAGTTTTAGCTACTTAATTTTACCTTTCTTTTAAACTTAGAGTTTGTAAATAAAATGATTTTAGTGTAAATGTTAACAGCTGTCAGTGAATAGACACTGTTCATCCTAACACTGCATTCTTCTTTCGCATCAGTCCCGCACAAAACATACTTGTTTTCCAAAAAGAGCCAGCTGTAGGCTACTTTCTATTTTAAATAAGCTTATGAGTCTGTATGTTTATATTTTAGTGAACTGACTTTTATCAGAGATTAATCTCAGATCAGCTCTTGAGCAGAGGGGCAGAGGTTGAGAATGGGTACACTATGGAATATGTAATGTAGTGTGAGTCGTGCCCTTTTGGTACCAGTATTTTGGACCAGTTATTTTTGACTGAGTTATTATGACATTTTGACAGTGAGCAAATTTACAGTATACCTGTCTATGTGAAGTTATGAAGAGTTTTATAAGAGATGTAGAAGAGATTGCTAATAATGTAGAAGAGAAAACTGCAATAAACGTTAAACCTTTACAAGCAATCTTACATTAAGAAGAACATACAGAGACTGGGGAGAAAATTATTAAATAAGACAGGAATTTGTTTGTGCTAAGCAGGTAAGAAGATACCAATTTAAAGTGCAAGATTTTGCTTTGTCCACACAGAAATACGGAATCAGCTCTGTGTTGCGCTTGTGCTGTAGGTTTGATGTAACTTGTGTTTGTTTTGAGTGATCCAGGGGATTGCTTCACTTCCTTTTGTTGTCAGTCAATAGGAACAGCCAGTTTATGGGGAAACAAAAAACAGACAGAGCAGTTCATATTTTTTAAAACATAGTATGTAGTGTCCTGACCAGAATCTTCCTCCTTTTGGTTCTTCCCCACGGCATCAGAAAAACAGTGTCTCTTTGTAGATTAGTACGGCTTTCTTGAAATTGTGTTCTGGCAAGATTCTACTTCATCTTGGGCCTTTCGTGTTATTCATTTAAGCAGTTTGTTTTCTGAGCACCCCAGTCCCCTCTAAGCAAAACTGATGACAACAATAGGACAGCGTGCTTTCAATCAAAGGAGATCAGAGATTTTAAGTAATCATCTTTAGATAGTTTGCGTTCATAAAATTTTTATTCTTGATTACCGTGCATAGAAAAGAAAAGCTGTGTTTTATGGGATTGAAATTTTGTGTTAAGCACATTATTAAGAGTAAAAAAAAAAATAGATGTGTCCTTACCCCACTTATTGAGCAAGTCTACTTGTTCTGAGTTCTGAGTTTTTAAAATCGATTTTCTATTTAGTCATTTTCTCTGATGACGTTTCATCTTCTCTACAGCAGTGACTCATAAATCTTAATTCTAGCATGAGATTAACTCAGTGGGTCAGCGAGTGAGAGCAATCAAAGGTTCTGGAATTCTGAGCTAAGGCATAGTGGAACATGGCAGTAGTTCTGTGGCCTAGCTCTGCTAACGAATGGTTGAACTTCCACGATGTAAGTAAGCACACCACGTCAAGAGCGAATCGGCACCGTACGTGGCACGTGATTCATGTTCTTTAAATTGCAGCTATTATTGCATTAGAAGTGGATACGAGAGAGAGCCATTTGGCTCCCATCCGAAGGGGTGACAGCAGGCAAGACAAAACATGCACTTCTTGGGAGGGCCGGACAAACCTCCTTCTTTCAAGATTTCGATCAAATCAATTACACTTTCCAATTGTACTGACAAGTGTTTTCCCAGTTTGCCTTGAAAACTTCTAATGCCCTCAAAATAGAAGCTTTCCTACGTTTTTATTAGGTCTGTTTAATAGTGTTACTCTTTGCTGGTGGTCATCCATGGATGTTACACAGAGTGACTGGCTTGACCCCTTTACTCTTCTAACCCAGATGTGCATTAGCTGTAGCAGCAGGCATTAGGATCATAGCTTTCTCTGCGACTTAATTTGCCTGGCTGCATGCATCTGAAGAACAAATAACCCTAAAAGAGTTTAAGAACGTCCGGGTGATACTCAGTGGTGCCGGAAGTGAAGAGTATCAGTCACATTAATGTAAATGCCAAATATTAGTTTAATCAGAATTGTAACATAACTACATTACAAGGAAGAGGAAGGCTAAATCTTCACCTACCAAAATTTAAATATCAATAAATTATAAAGACAACACAAAATTATTTTGAGAAATAGAGAAATATAAAGGACCAAAGAAATAGACAAAAATAGTTGATGGTAGAGTTTTCTTAGCAGTTTTATTAAGGATTAGGGAAATAAAGAATTGGACCATGGGAGAATTGATTTTTGAAAAAGAAGTCATAAGATGTAAAATGTTCAACCTTTTGATGTATGAGGAAATAAAAATTAGGGATAGTGATCAAACAGTATTAACAAGTACAAGAAAAGAAAGTGTGACATTGTTTGCAGTAAATAAATAACTTTCTACTATGACCCTAAATGATTATGAATATCCATGCTCTTGAAACATTTTAATGATAGTTATTACAACTAAGTAGTCTCTCTAACATACTCATTACAGATACTCAGATGGCATCAATGCTATACAGAGATAGCATTTTAACTTTTAGGAAACCTAACTTTAACTAATGACAGTAACACAAAATCTCTGGGAAAAAGAAAGCTGTAGAATTCAAACTGCCAAATCGTCTTAACATTTTTTTTCTCTTCACTCAAAAATTGAAATGAATTTCCTAAATGCCCAGAAAGAAAAGAAAATTACAGAATTTTGGAAAATACAAAATTCATTGGAGATAATTTCTTTTTCTACCATTCAGATTATTAGTTACTTTCTCTAATTGAAACATTCTTATTTATTTTACCCAGAAAGTTGTTTGGAAGTTTACATAACTTTCTATAGAGGGGGGGGCTTATATTTAAGTGAAAAAGTAGAATGACCAAAAAAAAAAAAAAGACCAACACATTTCACAAAAGACTTTGCTCAACCAAGTAACACTTTC